CCCATTCAATCATCATCTGGTTTAGTCATTCCTGGCACGGCTGAACCCACTGGGGTGGGCTCAGCACCTTCCCCGTGCCATGGGGAGCACAGAGCACCCCAGCCCAGCATCCCCACTGTCCCCCCCCACCACGGCCGGGGGCTGGCACAGGGAGAAGGGAAATCTCCATGTGGAATCAGGCACTGCCTGAGGGAATAATTTTTCTGTACCCAGAGAGCTGGCAAAAGGATTTATCTGTCCCCCGCCGCTGGCTCCGGGGAGTGTTTGCATTCAAACAAACTCCTGCATTTGATACACTTTTAATATTAATGCTGCTGGAGCCCCAGATTCAAACGCATCTTTTTTAATGGAATATCTTATTAGATTTGGAAAGGGATGGATGGATGGCGTCAGAATTGAGAGCTGGCTGAATATTAACTCGGGGAGATAAATACTCTGGGAGAAGTGGGTTGTCCTCTCAAGCTCGTGGGTGTTTTTTGGGTACCCGTGTGTGAACCCCAGATGACAGCTCCGTGGGGATGGATATGTTGGTTTGGGGGTGGTGGGTCGTGCCATGGTTTGGACACCAACCTGGCTGCGTGTGGTGCCTGTTCCCCTGGCTGAGCAGCCACTGGCTGTGCCCATGGGGGGGATTTGGGTCTGGATGGTCGTGGGAGAAGTTGGGGTGCCCCCAGGCAGCCGGGCTGGGGTGAAGGGCTGGGCTCTGCTGGCTGGAGGGGATGGGCCACCAGGCTGGGAATCACAATCCTGAAAACTGGTTTGGTGGTGTCTGCAGTTCCCCCAAATGACAAAACGAGATGTAATTCCCCCAAATTCTCCTTCAGAGCCCTCTCTGGGGACAATGACAGGGTAAATTCAGCCACTTTGTCCTGCCTGCAACACAAGGGCTGTGGTGGAGAGGAGAGGAGGGGAGAGGAGCTGCAGGGGTCTCTGCAAGCTGGAATGGCTCCTCTGCTCCCTCTCTCACCAGCACTTCCCTGGGATGCTGCATTCCCCTGGGATGCTGCAGCAAGCTGGGATGGGTGCTGCGTGACCCCTGGGTGCCGTGGGGGCAGGGAGGCAGGAGATTGTCCCCAGTGCCCTCCCCAGCTCACCTCGCTGCTCTCCCCCCTCTCCCCAGTCGACTTCATTGGTGGGTTTGACTCCTACGGCTACCAGGCGCCACAGAAGACATCACACCTACAGCTACAGC